AACACCACACAAATTGGACTTGGAGGTGCAAGTCAGGTTCTGTCTGTAATTTCAGCTGGGAAGTCAGCAGACAGCTGATTTCACTCTCAACACCCAACTCACTTTCAGCTCTGTATTTTAAGCAGCCCCAGTGATGTTTGCTTGTTTTCCCTCTGCTCTATGAAATGGCATCTTTGTTTTATGGGTCTGTGAGAGCCCAGAGAGGCAGGGCCTGAAGAGGAATAAAAGCTTTCCCCTCCTGTCTTGCAGCAGACAGAAGCTGTGTCTTTATCTCACAAACCATGCCCAGGGTTAGTTCACCCAACTCAACTCCACTGACCAAAAAACCCCCAGATTTTTCCATCACTGAAGATCTACTCTCAAAACATGACTTAATGTTGTCTGTGTTTTTCCATGCCCACTTTCCCAGCTGCCTTGGGAATGGATTAGAAAGTGTGCTTGCCTGAGCTTTTTAGAGAAATGCTGCACACATACCTCATCTTCCGTCAGGGCCCTCTGGTTTAGGCTCCTCCTGTCGTTCCCCATGAGGTGACGTTTCTTCAGGTCTTCCCCGGAGCTGTACAGCTCTGGGAACTCAGCTGACTTCTTCCTGTAGTTCAGAAGCTGTGCAAGCTGATCCACCTTGCTGTACTGCCTTTCCACGCCGTACCTGTTCGTTTTGGGGTTCCTCTTCTCGCTGCGCCTGTGCTTCAGGGCGCTCTGGATTTGCTTTTCTGACCACCAGTCATAGTCACTGTAGTCAGGGAAGAGACTCTTCTCACTCAGAGCAGGCCTGCCTTCCTCCCTGGCCTCCAGRAGCTGCTCCCCTGCACCGTCCCTCTTGTCCAGGTGCCGGCTTTTCCACCACAGCAGCGGGTAGAAAGGCCTGTAGGAGGCTGCGGTTCTCTTCTCTTTCTCTGCAGGGAGACGCCGTCTGTACTCCTCCCTCTCCGCGTACCTTTCCTCCTCTTCATTTTCCACCCGGTCACTGCTGCGGTGCTTCTTCTCCACCTCCTCCTCCTCCTCCTCCTCCAGGCTGTCCTCAGTGCTGTAGTGCCTCCTGGCCTGTCCCTTGTGCTCTCGAGCCTTCTGGGACCCTTCCTGCTCCTTGTTCCACAGGCGGGATCTCCCTGCAGCGCGGTGCTGTTTCTCCTTGCTSAGATACCTGTCCAGCTCCTCCTCATTTTCATTTTCATCCTCGAGGTACGTCCTCCCCTGGGCACGGCGCGCTCCATCGCGGTGTCTCCTCTCCTCAGGCCGTTTCTCATTGCTCTCCTCTTCCCTGCTCTCCTGGCTGTGCTGCCAGCTGTGCCCGTGCTCCTCGCTGCCCTGCCCTGCAGGGCTCTCCTCCCGCAGCTCCTCAGGAGAGCCTCCCTTCTCCTCAGAGCCCTCCTGATGCTTCTGGCGGCGGTTCCACCTCTCCCCTGGGTGGGATCCCCSAGCTGGCTCCTCTCTGTCCCCACCGTGTCCCCTCTTCTCCTCAGAGGAGTCACCCACTCTGTGCTTCCTGTGGTAACCTTTGGAGTTGTAGGGTCGCTTCTCCACCTCGGTTTCTTCGCTCTCCTCGGAGTCTTCGCGCTCCTGCTGGCGGGAGAAATCGCGTTCCTGAGACTCCTGGTGGTATTTCTCACTCCTTCCTTCCTCTGCCTCTTCCCGGATTTGTTTGTAAGGGCTCTGCATTCCCTCCTCCAGGTGCCAGCGGCCCCTGGGGCTCGGATCATTCCCACCCCGGAACTCCTCGGTGCTCAGGCTCTCTGAGCGTGATTTCTTGCTGACAACAGCAGCCTCTCCATTTTCACAGCACTCGCCCTCCTTGCTTTCCTCCTCACTGTGGTACTTCCTCTCCTCCTCTCTCCCAATTTCCTGATAGTGCTTTTTGATTTCRGAGTGAAAGGTTTCATCCTCAGTGGCTGAGTGGTGTCCAACCTCCTCCTCCTGGCTTTTACCTTCCTCACGAGCCAGTTTCTCCTCAGCACCTCCTGCCATGTGCTTTTCTGACTCCACTTCTGCCTGGCTTTGCTCTTTCTCCATGCTCCCAATCTTTATTTTATCAATCTCTGCTGCATCTTTGGGATACCTCACTTCAGGTTCTTTATTTTCGCTTCTCTCTCTGTCAKTTTTATCACCTACAACAACAAAAGCAGCATCATGGAGTAATCAACCCTCCACTGAAATTTTATTTCAAGTTATATTTATTATAAATTCTATCCAAGTTCATTTATCCCCAAGGCACCAAGGAAATCTGGACAGAATTGATTTCTTAAGTCTGGTTTTAAAATCAGTAGTTTGCTACTCTTGTATGCTTGCCTGGAAAAGGATGAACTAACTTCCAGGCATTTTAGAAGTTCTGGGAATTTCCTGCAAGTTTCCTGGMATTTCCAGAATAATTTTTGGCTTTTTTGTGATCACATTTTTAGTACTAAATTAAGCCACCTCTCGTTCCCATTAAAAATCCATGGGATCTGGAGTTGTGTTCAGTTCTTTGACTGCCAGGCCTTGCCCATCACAGATATTTGTTCACAAAAAAAGACAACCACCTATTTCAAGTCACTCTAAAACACYAGGATTTTTAGCAAATTTAAAAAGTTTTTTAAAATTGACTGAAAAAAAAAGTATTAAAGTAATCTGATGCTTTGCAAAGTTAAGCTTCGTCTTCTCAGGCTACCTAAAGAGTTTGTCAAGTCCTCTCAGACTCTCCAGGTGTTTTAAAGAGAGCCAGAAGTGCCATCCAAGAATCCCTGACAATTCCCAGGTCAGGCTGTTTGTTGTCTGAGTGAAACAGACTGAACAGAAGGTAAAAACAGAATTTTGACATTGCAATTTGGAGACACAGGTTTCACCAGCTCCAACACCGGAGAGAAGCCATGCACCAAATTCCTTTCACGAGTTCAGGTAATGCTGTACTTACTCTTTTTCAGCATTTCTTTGCACTCAGGATTAATGGGGGGTGCATTTGGCTTAGACAGAGCGTTGGACAGAACCTCCACTATGCACCGGGTGACCTGGGAGAGACAAAAYGGGAGAAAAAATCCTCATGGCAAAAATGGGAATTTTACTTCTGACCCTGCTGGTAGAACAGCTTGCTTAAAATCAGAGTTCAGGCTGTTATTAATGAGCTTTGAGTAACCCTGTGCATTTGGGCTTTGCTCCTCACTCCCACAGCAGTGAGAACAGGCACAGGGTGTTTTTATATCCCCTTGTGTTTGCAGAGGTGACAGGCTCCTTCTGTACCTTTTAAAATATTAAATTAAAAACAATGTGTCTGYTATAGAATAAACAACCAAACACACATTGAAGAATGAGGATTATCCTGTAAGATCTGTCCAAACAAGGATGCTGCAAAGGCAGTTTGGGGTTACCAATGAATTAAACACCTCTGTGTCCTCTGTGAAGGATACACTCCACACCTTCTCATGTATGGGGGCTCTCAGCCCTGCCTGCTTTTTAGCACTGAACATTCAACAGGATCTGAATTTCTGGAAGCAGAGAAAATGGATTGATTTAGGCAAGTCACACAATGTGCTCTAATCCCAAGCAGCGCCAAAGTAGCTCCTGTGTATAAAATGATTTTCAAGTGCTGGAGCTGTGGGTGTGAACAAGGGCTCTGCTTGCAGGGGGAGCCTCAGGTGGACAATCTGTGGGGATGACTGGGAGGAGACAATAAAACATTTTTAGAGCCATTTAGTCTTTTAACTATTTTTGGTTATTATCAGGTGTTTACTGATCTAAATGATCACAGTGCAGAGGGGCTGGTGTCAGGGTGAAGGGTCTGAGAGCCCCTGGTGGCATGGATTTACTCACATGGGGAGGAACAAAAGGCTACATTAGGAAATCTGTTACACAGTTGGTGATAATATTGTAACTGTAAACATTTCACCTTTCCTCCACGCTGTCACCTCACTGTTTACAATAACAGGCACTGTGGAATGTTTCAGATCACTTTTCAAGCAGCTGGACAAGGCAGAGTTTCACAGGTACCACAGTGACACAAGAGCCAGCTCCCAYTTCCACCAAACACATCTCCTGACAGCTAAAGGCACTCCGAGCTCCATATGAGCTTTCAACAATTTTGCCACAATTTTCAGGAAAAAGGTAAAGCATCACCCTGAGAGTTTAAAGACAAAACATGGAGGACAGATCAGTGATATTTTGTGAGATTGTTTTGACAAGGAGCTACTCACCATTTCTTCAGTGTGGTCTTTTTCCACTGGAACTACGCTGGCACCTGGAAGAAAAACCAATTAATACACAAGAAAAACCAATTAACACAGACTCATTAATACAAGCATCACTGACAGGAATCCTCAGCCAAATTGGTCCARTGAGGCAGCTTGAGATTTGGGTTGACCAGTCACTAAACCAGGSACATTCCACATCAACCCTTTCCTTATCTGGACGGAAGAGCTGTGTGAAATCGCAGCAGAGCACGAGAGGAGAGGCACAGCAATGCTTCTGGCACTAAAATAATATTCACCAAAAATAGTCCCACCCACAAAAAWTCCAACACCAAAGAAAGCCACACTTAAATTCCAAAATGGAACTTTACTTCAAATCAGGTCCTCATGTAGTTGMATCTGTTTGATGGTAAAATAAATTGTCAAAACCAACAAGCAAGGCCTGTTTGCACCCCAAGAACCTTTTGGATTCTTGGAGAAGCTCCATGTGCACCCCCTGACAACAGGAGACAGTTCATCAAGGCTGTAAAGCAGCTACTGTMYCAGTCCTGCTGGAGAAATCCTGCCTCACTTGGAGGTGGCTCGAGGGAGGAAGGAAGGAGAGAGCCAGAAGRRACAGGAAAATTTCCATTCACTGAGTGGTCTGTTATTGCTCCAAGAAATAAGCAAAAAACCCCAAATCTCAGCAGAAAACTACTCTGGGAGGAAGCAGCAGAACCCATTCCCCTGTCCCTCTGTCCCGTGGACACATGGGGTAACTCACAGCTCCTTACACCACTTCTATTGCACCTGGGCCAAGATATTTGCTTTTGGAAAGGAGCTGCTGCCAACAAAACCCCGGTGCTGATGGCTGCTGCAAGCTCTCCAGCTGGATGATGATCTTGGCTGCTGTGTTGTTAATAAACTGTCCATTCCCAGCCACCTGCAGATTTCCAGGAGTGAGGCTGAGCACCTCTGCCAGCCCCACAAAGGCGTGTGGGAGCAGGGCTTGGAGCTCTGGAGAGCTCCCACACAGTGCAGAAGCAGCCCTGAAGGCCTTACAGGGGTCAGCAGAGCCCTAAATACAACAATCAGCTCTCTCTGGCTGGGTCAGGGACAGTGAGACAGAGGAGCACAGAGCACATGTGCACATAAAAGAGGTCAGTTTTACCTGATGACATCCCAACAATGAACGCTGCCCTGAGGAGAGCAGGAGCACAGAGCCTTGCACTATTTAAAGCAGCACAACCTTTAGTCTCTGTGCTTGCAGAGGAAGCAGACATCCCCTGGAGCAYTGACTCAGTGTCTAAGAGCTGAGCATCACACAATAACAGCTCTGGACATTGCTGTTATCCCCTCTCTGCTCCCCCAAACGCACATGTGGGGATGTGCTGCTCCAGCCCCCATCCCTTCCCCAAGTGCCATCAGAGAAGGGAACCCACACAAGGCTGGCACAGAAGGGATTCCCCTAAAATAGCTCTGCATCCTCCCCCAGCATTCCCCCRGTGCCAGGTGCTGTGTGAGGGGAGATGGAGCTGCTCAGAGCCGACCCTCTCCCCCATCCCTGGCGTTCAGCACTGACTGAGGCAGGCTCTGAGCTCCTTTTCCAACCCAGGATATAAATAATGCTCACCCTGCTGTGTGCAGGGAGAAGGATGGACAGACATGGGGCAGGGGACAGAGAGACAAAGCTCCTCCTAAAAAGGTGTTATCTGTAAAAAGGCATTCATTGTCTCCATGCCACAGTGGGAGATGCTGCTCTCCCAGGTGAGCATAGGTAGGAGCCCCTTCACTGCCTCTTCCTGGGGAGGCTCCTCTGCTCCTCCAGCCCCTGGGAAAGCCTGACAGGCACCGGGACAAATGTCTGATTTTGTCCTTTTACTGATGCYCATCTCCTGTGAGTGACACCCAGTGATGTGGCAAAGCACAGAGCAAACTCCTGGACATCTCCTGCTGCTTGAGGCCACCCCCTGGGCGCTGTCAGTGGCACAGGAACACCAAGTCCGGTTGGCCCCACTGCCTTTGCTGTGTCATTCAAAAGCTCACTTGGTTAGCAGTGAAAGCCATCGTGAATGTAACAATGTCAGAAGAACGTGATGGTATCGGGCAGATGTCAAATGAACCTGCCTGGAGAAACAGAACGAGCCCCYAGTCCATGCCAGAGCCTGAAATAACAACTGAGGGAGCTGCTGAGCCAGGGAGGCAGCGGGGAGCCAGCAATGCCCCACTTTCCACAGGTGCTGGCAGTGCCAGCCCATGCCAGCTGGCAAGRGCTCCCTCGGGGCCACCTGCCACCCGAAGGTGCTGGCCAACACGGCCACCTCCCTGTCCACACAGGGACAGCAGGGTCAGGCAGCAGGACACCCACCCGGGGCTCACAGGAACGCAGCAGATGGGAACACTGTGGGGTTCCACAGCACAGCCAAGCCAGGACACGTGCCAGCGTGGAAACCTCGCACCTGAACACACCACAAAACAAACCACAGCCCCACAAAGGAGGGCAAAACCCTGGGGATGCTCTACCCTCCTGAACCAAGTCTGCCCAGGGAGGTAGGATTAGATTATTTGATTTTTTCTAAGTGCTGAGAGTTGATGGATATCATGAAAAATGATGATAAATGCAGGACAAATTCACACGGCTTCTGCTTGCATGTCCAAGATTAGAACAGATCTTCGGGTGGGTCCCTGACGAAATCCCCACATGGCTTTGTTTCATCAATGCAGATGACTCAGTGCAGTGTCATCCCTCATCAAAATGTCACAGTGTCTTCCTAAGCAGGATCACWAAAATTCTGGCATATTGATTTGCAGGACTACTAGAAAGTTCTTGAAGTCAATGTTTCACTGATACAACATTTGAAAGCAAGAGAGCCACAAAGGATGTAAAGAGGTACCTGCTCTGTTTGAAGGCACAAACAGGGAAAAATATTTGGAAACAAATCCCCATAGAATCTATGGTGTAAATGTGGTGAGCTACTGTGTGTTTGGGTCCTTTCCCCCCATATTCCACCCTCCCTCTCTGATTTCAATAAAGGCACCTGAAAGCAGTCAACTCCCTCACAGTCTCWGCACAAGAAGTCTCCCAGAAGTGTGGAGACTTCTAACAGACCTAAAGCCAAAATCCTCAGCCCAGAATGACACCGACTCATTCAAGCAATGATGTAAGTAGGCATAAAAAACACTACAGAGCTAAGCCATCACATCATTCTATTGTGCTTAAGGTTCATTTCACAGCGGGGTTTTAGTTTTTAATGCCGCGGGCAAAAAGATAAAAAATCCTGCTAGTTAAAGCTGCAGAGCCGCTACTTTGCCACCGCCTCGCAGCGTCAAGCACCGGGCTGGCAAAAATCCCCGTAAGGAAGCGGCACCGAGAAGTCTTTGTGCAAAGATGCTGTGCCGGGATAAAAATCCAGGCGGAGCAGCCGAGGAGCCCTCGCCCAGCGCCATCCCCACCCGAGGGGCCACCCGGAGCGAGCCCCTCCATCCCCCCGTCCCGCTCACCTGCCAGGGCGGCGGCCGCCAGGAGGGCGAGCAGCGCCCGCGGCCCCATCTCGGCTGCGCTGGGCTGGGCTGTGCCGGGCTCGGCGCGGTTTAAAAGGGGAGTGGGGGCGGAGGAGACGGGCGGGGGGCCCGCCGGGAGCTGCGTCACTGCGAGCCCCCGGGGGCGGTGCCGCCGCCGCCCCCGCGCCCCCTCCTCCCCCCGCAACCCAAAGCCGGGGACCCGCTCGGCCCCGGCCGCCCCCTCCCCGCCTCTAAAGGAGCGGGGCAACTTTCTCACCCGCTGGCCAAGCCGAGAGCGTTTTCCCTTCCCCGGAGATGCCCCCGCCTCATCCTGCCGAGACCCCTGCACATCCCCGCCGCGACTTAGSAAAGGGGGAAAGCGGCGCTTCCCCGCCTGTTTCTCGGAGGATGCGGTACCGTCCTCAGGTCTTTCCCTTTATCGGAGGATGCCGAGCCTCTGCCTCCAGGGCGGAGGTGCGGTAACCCATCCCTCTTAAACAGCTTTCACGAGAAATCGCTGCGCTTCCACATCCATTTCCCATCGAAGCCTCCTCAGGTGCTGCAGCAGCCTTTCCTGCCTGCAAGGYTTTTATCCTTTCCCCTCCTCTCACAGCCTCCCCCCAGCCCTCCCCACACAGCAAACCCGGACCCAGAGAACGAGTGGGAAGCGATCCCGGTCCTTCTGGCACCTGGTGAGGGAATGACACGCAGCATTCCCCAAGAGTTCCACCAGGGAAATCACTGCTCTYAGCATCCATCTCCACGGGCAAACCTTTTATTTACCGTGATGATGCTCTGGGGAGCCAGAGSAAGCCTGCAGAGATCAAGTTTTACATCGTTTCCTTTAACAGCCCCCGCTGTCCCAATTAGTCCTCAGCGGAATAAAAAGCTTAAATGACAAGTTACAACGAGGTCTCCATAAAGAAACCTGAATATTCCACCCAGTTCCCTCCACAGCCAGGCAAAGACCCGAACTCCTTTTTGTTTTATTAACTCTCAGAGGGCCATCTCCGAGTTCYGTGTGTTTTTAGCTTTCTTTTTTGTTTGTCCTCAGAGCCAAGCAGATGGTCCTCTAATTGCCAGTGTTCCTGGAGGACAATGGATCTATACATCACGCTGGCAGTTTCCTCTGTTCCCATCCTATTGTCCCTTAACAAGGCCAGGCTGCTGCAGCCAYACATCCTTCAAACACGGAAAGCGGGACACGGGCACAGCGCTCCAATTAAACTCACGGTGCACAAAGGGAGCGGGAATTCCTGCWCCACTCGAAGGCTGTGGCAGGAGGCACAGCCAGACACCTTGTTCACCTTCCATCCAGTTCACAATTTCTGCAAAATAACAGAATCCAGTTCCTGGCCACCATGGAAGGCAAATAATCTGCAACATCTGCAACATCTCCTCTCAAAACCCCCACGAATGCTGTTCCTGTCCTGCCAGTGCCAGCACCACCTCCACAAGCAGATATTTCTTTGGAAATCTCCAGCCTTGGCTTTGGGAAGTCAAGAGYCTGATTCAAAAGACAGACAAATTTCCCAGGCTCCAAGGTCCCCGTGCCCTCCCCTGTCCTTGTGAGGATTCAGCCTGGCCTCAGCCTCCTCAGCTGCTCAWGAGGAAGAATTTTAAGTGCAACATTTGCCTTTCATGCATTCCCTGCCTCTGCAGCCATATAAATAGCACGTTTTGCCATCACTTACATCAGGGTCTACATGGGAGCACCTTCACACCTTCAGATTCCATCAGGTTYGAGGTTACAAAGATTTGCAAGTGTTGCAGGAGGATTGTGACAAGAGCAGGAYGGAGTATATCCAATTCCAGAACAGGATCCCATGGACTTTTCTGGCAGCACTGGAAATCCAGAGCATCCAAGTTAATTAAGTCAGCCTCAGTTTTCAAAGCAATGTTGTTTCACATGGATTTTTACAGGCAGGAATTAGCTGGGATGAGTTTCTCTGCGGATCAGGAGGGAGCTGTGAGTGCACTAAAGCAGGATCACTGCAGGCAGAGGCACATTTCACTGGATCAGTTGTGAGTGGCACACCCCAAACTCCTTTCTCAGATGTGTCAGTACTCTGACTGTAGTGATGCACACGCCTCACAATGTTGTGACAATCCATTGCTCTATGAATAAACACTATTTATCCTGTGGGATTCTCTCAAATACAAATGCTTAAAAAAAATTACTCATTTGGCTCATGCTAGAAGCTGGAACTTCAAAGGATGACAAGCAAATTTCTGTGCCTGAGCTCCTTCTAAATTGAGAGGAGACTGCATGAGGAATATGAAGATTGCTCTTCTAATTAGATGTGCTGGTGGTGATTATCTCCTTTTCTCAGATGCCAATTAGTTCTCATGGCATTAAAATAACTGCAGCCTGAACAAATGCACAAACTCCTCTCTGCCATTCAGAGGATGGGTTTGGAGAAAGACAATTGAATGGGGAAAAAAAAAAATTGAGAAGGGACCCCAGTTTCACTGATAGCAGCCAAAATCSTCTCAGAAACCTTGTCATATGCAGTGCTCATTGCAATGTAAGGGATAATGGAGCTGCTCAGGCTGTGCTGCTGCTCTGCATCACCCTTGACACGTATTTAACCACAGGACACTAATTCAGCTGTGCCAGAGGCTCCAAGAGTTAAACTTCACCCCAGGAAYTGAGTTGGCATCTTGGTAACTCCACAGAGAGTCAGGTTCAGGTGCCTCTTTTAGGATGACAGAGAGACTAAAGCAAAATGTGCAGATTGGCCCCCCGTTATGAGTAACAAACTGAGTTATCTGCACATTTTGCTTTAGTCTCTCTGACATCCAAAACCCCAAAAAATGCACCCTCAGAGCAGAGCTATGGGGAAAAATCATCCCATGATTTCCACAGGATGCAAATCACCTGAATGCACTGATATAAACCCACCCAATTCTGTATTTACACAACAAGCAGCTCCTGATTTAAATCCCAAATGCACAGCTTCTGCCTCCACTGAGACATTTTTGGGTCATTCTTCCACAAAAGTGAAACATGACTGCCACCACCACCACCTGTGGCCTTAGCTCATGGTACCAATGAACTGCCCAGCAGACTGAGCTCCAATTGAGAGACAGAAAATACAGATGGGGGATTTCTGCAGCATGGGCAAATATCTTTTTTTTTTTCCTTTCTGTGTTTATATAGTTTATAGCACACCATAGGGTTTTGTTCATGCCACATCCTCCTAGGCAGTGTGACTGCTAGTTTTCAGTGTCGAAGACTTCATAAAAAAATCTAAAGAATTCACAGGGTATTTTTGCTTGAGAACCTTAAAAGTTCAGTCCAATAAAAATTGTCTTTTTTGGTTTTCTTTTTTTTTTTTTTTTAAAAAAAAAAAACCAGATTATTCACTTGTAAACTTCTGTCCCATGCAGGATCCTTCTAGCTCCCATTTTTCAGTGATATATCTATTCCACAGAAATAAGGTCAAACATTATAAGGCCAAATTGAAAAGAGGTTTAAAATATGCCTACAAGGCATGTCGTAACTGTTAAGTGATAYGGAAAATACATGCACAGGTTCTGCTCTGGTGTTCTGGAAAAAGCCCTGTGCTAGCTGAYACAAATCCTCAGGGCTTCTGGATACACTCACAGGCTACAGAATGAAAAAAAGAAACCATGAAACCCAAACTAAAGGTGAGAGAGGGAAGACCAAGTATAAATACAAYCATTTCCCCAATATCCCAGGTTTTCCACAGAACATTTTCCCATATGCTGCTCACACATCTCTCTCTCCTCACAGTCATTCCTCTCTGTTTGTTAGCTCAGATGGCAGAAAATGAGATTGCGCCGCAATACAAAAAAGTTAAAAATAYATACAAAATAAATAAATAAAAAGCAGACTTTGGGGCCTAGAGAACAAAGGACAATTTTTCTATACTGCAGKCAGCATGAAGGGCCATTTTCTAGAATCTTTCCTGGTAGCAACTCACTGACCTTGCTTGTTCCAGGCAGTAAATGCAACTTAGCTCCTGCAATTCCACTGGTGATGTCTTCACGGGAAAGATGACATTGATGGGAAACAACCTGAACTTCTCCTCCTGTAAGAAAAAGTTGGAATTTGCCTCATGGTGTAGGCATTGCTGAGATTTTGAGTCATAAGGCTTCATTTTTTCTGTGCTGCCCTTTCTCACCTTATGGCTGCCAGAAAATTATCTGCTGGACTCCTGGACTCCAAGTCAAAACTTTCCCCTTCAGATCAAGTTAAAATGTAATTTTTTTTTTATCTTCAGCAGCAGCAGAAGTCCAGACACGATTACTCATGGCTTTACAAATCTGGCCATGACTAAACCTTCTCCCAGTCTCAGCTGCCAGCAAATTGCTTTGCTGACAYCCCCCACAGCCCCAGGTGCCTCCTCCTTTATAAGGGGGAAATAAGAGCACCCCAACACCCTCCTGACCAGACCAGGAGTCCTGGACAACGAACAGCGCCCAAAAGCTGCCACCACATCCCTCTGGCCTGGWTTTTGGAGGTTTGGCATCACTGCAKAACYRGAGTTCCCAGCAGCTGATGCCCAGAGAGCAGCCTGAGAGTGCTGGAGCATCTCACCCAGCAGAGCTGCACACCCAAAAACAACCCCTTCCCAGTGCCCCCTGCCTTTTTTATTTCATTAGCCTCACAGGACTAATCAACCTCCTTGGTGAACTTTAGGGCTTGTGTACTAGAACATAAAACAGGAGAGAAATTTCCTTCAGTGAGCAAAATGTGGACTTGAGCCCTCGTATTTTGAGGGCTGCTTGTCATTAAGCAAAAATGACTTTAATAGTTGCCTTTGCAGTGCAAATAATTACATTTAGGCAATTAAATTGCCCCATTCAGTGTTTCTGCCTGCTTTTTGTCAACTGTGTATGWTCCATTTAATATTTAAAGACTGGGGCACTACTCTGGCTCATTTAGTAATTAATTTCTTTAAATATTTATAGCACTTTGACTCTCAGCRAGGGTTCTGTTTGGTAAGAACAATAATGTTCTGTGGTTGATAGTGTCATGGAAATTTCAGAGGCAAATTTCCATTTTGTAAGATAAAAACATACAGATTTCTGCAACAGACTAATGATTCCAGGGTAAAGTTTTTATTACTGAACAAGGTACATACTGAAAAAAAAAATCCAATTATGGCCCTGCACGTAATTCCAGACTGAAAACACAGGGTTGAGAGATCTGTTTTATGACAGTGGTGCTCACACAGCTAAAGGAATTGCCCAAGAAATTTTCCATCACCTTTTTTTGATCACCACTGGCACAAAGAATCGAAACCTGACTGCAAAAAAACCCTACAAAAGAGAGAGCAAAACCTACAAAATGCAGGATGGCATTTTGCCAGCATCTCTTCCCCTTAAAATACCCATTTTTTTCCTTTTTGCATACTCTGATTTTAAGACTTTTAGGCTCTTTGTGAGAAATGCTCTGAGCTGATAAAAAACGGCTTAAGAGGCTTAAGCTTAAAGGCAGCCTTGGGAAATGAAAATACCTGGAAGATGCTCCATCTGTGTAAATTTGTCTGGTAACCCTGAAGRTGGGAAGGTGACCCAAACAGGAAAAACAGAAAAAGAGACTTTGAAAGAGACAAAGTGGCAAACTTAGGCTGGGAACAAAGTTCAGAGGACACCTCCTTTCAGCACACAAGTTGTGTGTGTAGGTGATGGTCCCACCCAGGCTGAGCAGCTCTGAGAGCAACCTGGGACTGAACAGGCACTGAACAAGGGATTTTTTTCCCCAGTAATTCACGTGCAACCAGTCTATTCCTGAACACCAGACAAGCAGCATTAACACTCCCAGAGACAGAACCCAGCTATGGGACTTGTCTGCACTCACACCTCCATCACATGGTGCTCCACTTGTCCCAGAGATCAGTCAGACCCAGGGAAAAAGCAAAAACAAGGATCAAAACCAAGCTGGTCTCACAGAACATGTGCTGAGCTTCTTCCTAAACAGGGGGCCTGGACCACAGATGCAAAATCTTTATTATTGTTCCAACCTCTAATTGCAAGGGTTTGAGCATTTGCTATCAAAGACGTGGCTGTGAAAGCCCTGCCCTTTTCACTCTTTCTCTGAAACTCTCAGACACCCCAAACAAGCTGCTGGCAACTTAGAACGAACTAAATGGTGGAAGTCACACTGCAAACGTGTTGCATGGCACAGCATCCCCATCTCAGTATCCTAAAATCACAGAATCATCCTGGTTGTCTGGCCAGAGGTGCTGATTTTAGCACCCATTTAGGATCATTCCTGGCTCACCTCACCCAGCAATGCAGGTAACACTGGACAGTGATCCCTGCCCTAAGGCTGCCTGACATTTCCCATTGCAAGAACATACCTTCCACTGCACATTTGGCTTGAACTGATGGGGAAATTTCCTATGACAGTTGTTTTTTCATTACAAGACTTACCCTCCCAAGTCCAGCACCTGCAAACAAACAGGCCATTGCAAAGRCAAATTTAAAAAAAAGGTTTGACCTTTCAGCCACGAGTCTTCTGGCTTTGGTGAGTGCTTTAATCACATCTTATTATTTCATGCTCTGTGTGCTAGTGCCAGATTTTACTTTTAAGGAAGAAATGCTGGCATATGTTGTTGCCTAATYGATGTGTGTGGGAAAATAGTCATTAGGGGAAACCTACAGAACRGGGTATTTTTAAAATGAACTTCTGTGTTGTGGGAAAACACATGCCCCACACAAAATCACCAATGCTCAGAAATGAAATAGCCACATTTACACGGKGTGTGTAGTGCCTGTTGTACACCAATTTTAACAACCACGTGTCCTGATATATCCTGGCATACCAAAGCACCTTGAATTCCTGGGAAAAAAACCCTCTGCTGCTGTAAATGGCCCTCCATTCACTTCASTGAGACCTGTGGCAGGAGCTCAGCTCTCCCTGGCTGCCTTTGGGCTCCAGGACTGGGTAGGTCACTGGCATGAATCAGCAGCAGTGTGGGAGGGAAAATAAAAATGCTGTGGGAGTAAGCAGCAGAAAGGCCATTGATAGCAAACGTCCTGGAGCAGCTCCCAGCCCAGGGAATGACTTAACAGCAGCAGCATTGGTCAGGGATGACAAAAGAGCTTGGAGCAGGCATTTCTGTAAGGTTCATTCTGGGAGTGGAGRCAGCACTCAGAGCCTGCAGCAGCACCAGCCACCCCTTGGGGACACTGGGGACGCTGGCACAGCTCAGCTGCAAAATACCCCACACATCTCTGTGGGATTTGGATTTGGGCTGTGCAGCACCAAAACCCCAGTCCATGCTGTCAAGGCCTCACCACATCCTCTGTGCTTCCTTCGTGGCAATGGTGGATCAATTTTGCCCCTSCTTGTCTTACCTAAGGGACTAATCCCCCATCTTTTACTTCACTTACACATTTTGCTTGAAGATTTTGTAGGATTTTGCRTACCCAGAGCACTGAGAGGTGTTGTAGGTTTTCAGGTGTTGTCCTAAGGTAGGCTCAGAGAGCTGCTCCTTGGCTGGGAGCCTTCAACAAGCAGAAGGAGAAAAAACCCCTCGGATTTGTTCTGCAGTGAAAGCCACCAAAAATGCCTTTGCCAAAGGGATGGAGAGAGGTGACAGCAGCTGGCTTTGGCAGCGGAGGGGAGAACAGCCAGTGCTGGGGAGGCCAGCAGGCTGGGGAGAAGGGGAGAGCTGAAACCACTGAAGTGTCAAAACTAAGTCAAGTGCAAGGCAGGGAAAGAGGAAGGCAYTTCACCTCTCAGGAAAAAAATTCGATTTCTCAAAGATTATTGCACAGGATGGGGAGAAATGGACAGAACACGGGACATTTCTGTGAGGGCTTCACACCACTCTTGATACTTGCYATGCCAAAACACTCTTTTTACCTTGAGGAATCCATGGGTAGTCACAGCCATGATCCACTGGAAGTGAGCAGGCACTGATTCTGAGGGGTGCAAACTTCTCAGAAGACTGCATKTTGCAGCAGCACAGAGATTCCTCTGCAAGATGCCAGCCAAGATTTGTAGATATGAGTCACAATCCAAATTTCTCAGCAGCATCCAGTCTGCTCTGCCTACGTTGGTCTTTAACACTGAACAATTTCATGCTCTCCTCTGTCAGTGTCTCTCTTCATGTTTTTCAGCCACCAGTTCTCTATTTTGTCATTGTTTGCATCTCATTACCTAAAGGGTTTGAGTGTAATGAGTCTCTTTTCTCGCTGTACAGAAATGTCTAATGAGGAATCTGTGCTGTTAAAGGCAGTTGTGCAGCCCCATGAGCAARAGGAGCTGAAGTTCTGGAGGTGCCTCATCCCCCCTCTGGCCCCTGGGGTGAAGCAGCATCATCTCCCCACAGAGGGACCCCAAATTAATTTCCTGTGTGGACACACACCTTCCAAACTAAGGCTGCCTCACTCTGCCATCACTGAAAACACTTATCACAAAGGAACAGCTATTCCCTCCATGTTTGCTGTATCTCATTCCAAAAATTGACAAACTGAGCTCAGGTTAATGAGGCCTCAGGAGGAGCTCCTGTGCACACCTCAGGCAGACACCTCATGTTTTGCTGTGAGTAGGGAAACCCATGTCTGTCTGTAGGGCTACTCTAGGGTCAGACTAGAGTCAATCAGGGCTTTTCTCTTCCATTAAAACCCAGTAGGGATGTCTCAGACATCCATAGCAGCAGGTCTCTCCTAAAGAGCAGGAAATTCCTATTTTGCTGTGAGAGCTTTCTTTGTGGAAATGGAATGGTTTTAGCTTTTGTTTTTAATAATAAAAACATCTGAACAGGAGACCAGATGGTTTTAGAGGTGACCCAGAGCATTGACCAATTCATCAACAAACCAAATACAGCAACCAAAGGGATTCAGATGCAGAGCTTGATTTCTCCATTTCTCTCTTCATGGGAGTTAATTCACATAAAAACGACAGTTAAAAGGTTTTGCACAGCAACTAATTTAACTGTGTGGAACAGCAGAAATGCTGGCAAAAATTAAAAGCAACATCATCAGATTGACACAGAAGACCTTCCTTCTTCCCTGTAGGTCCTCAGCAAGAGCTCCCTCCATCAGTCAGCACCGAGGCCCCTGTGGCTGTGACAGATCCATGGGGGTTCAGCTCTGTGAGCTGGCAGGGAGGCCACTGGTGTTACTGTAATCACTGACAGCACACCCAGGAGCTGTTTGCTTTTTCCAGCTGTATCTATGGCTAAACCAGCTGATATTACCTTTCTCTATCGTTTTTGCCAGCAGGATGCTTTCATCTGGATTTTGATACAYGAGCACCTGTGGATTTATTTCCTACAACAGAAATGATGCTGCATCCTCAACTATTTGTTTTCCCCTGAGCATCATTAACGTGAGTGGCTGTGGGAGCAGCTGAAAGTCTGCTCCAATATTTTGTGTGCCCTCTGCCATAAAAGCTGGCGAGCAGCACACCAGGCAGGACCACCACAAAGCCAGGAAACTAAACCCAGGCAATTCCAATATAAATCTATTTGCAAAGAGAGATTACACCGAGTCCTAAGACTTTGGCCATAACTTGCAGCCAGCTGAGCCTCCTCCTGCTCTGACTGAAGTCAGCAGCCAAATTTCCATTGCCTTTGCTGGAAACACCTGCAGAGCACAGCCACTGTGCCAACCTGCCAGGGGCAGTAAGGCAGGAGAAGCAGCCCCATGTGGGACTAGAGCAGGGAATCTGACATGCAGGAACACAAAAACCCACTCTGAGATCTGGCCAGTGTGGAGAGGGAGTAGATGAGAGGTCTCAGCAGCTGGACTGGCTGGCAAACACCAAATACCAAAACTGGCGTGAACAGTGTGGCTGTACTGGAGAAATTACATTAATGCTGACCCTTTCCTTTCCTTTCCTTTCCTTTCCTTTCCTTTCCTTTCCTTTCCTTTCCTTTCCTTTCCTTTCCTTTCCTTTCCTTTCCTTTCCTTTCCTTT